GGGGAGGAGGAGGTTGACCGTGAAGAACTGGCTGACCGAAGGAGGGAAGGGAGAAAGGGTGGGGCTGAGAAGTGCAGGGAGGCCGGAAGAAACTGGCCCTCCAGAATCTGAGCCACAAGGGGCGCTGTCGGCCGCGGAATGCGAGGCCACACAGGCCTGGGGGGGCGGGGTCAGATTCATGGGCGGTGTCAATAGGGGTGGGCCCTGGAGCCCGTTTGCGGCTGATCAGACCTATCGGCGAACAGGTACCAGGGACACGTGGGCGCATCGCTGATCGTGGGCGGAGTAGATCTGACCGGACCGCAACTCTATGGCGTGCACCCCCACGGTTCCTACAGCCGACTGCCCTTTACGGCTCTGGGTGAGTGCTTCTGCCCCTTCCTCACGAATCTCCCACCTCTGCGAGCTTGGCCTCACATTTGTCCCTGGATGGGGTGACCACTCAGATGCCCCTTCCACCTCCAGGCTCCGGGCAGGACGCGGCCCTGGCAGTGCTGGAGGACCGGTTCCAGCCAAACATGACGGTATGCGATCTCTGTACTCCCCTACGTGGTCCCTAGTGGGAAGTACACCCAGGGGCCGACACAGAGGGAACCTGGCCCAGTATAGAAGTCGGGGAAGGATTCTCAGAGGAGGCAAGGACTGAGGAGAGACTGAGTGAAGGTGGAGAAGTTGGTCCTGACAGTACCAAAGTTTGGACAGCTGGGAGAATCATTAAGAGCCAAGGGAAGAGGAAAACCTGGTAGGGTCCTGTTTGAGGTCTGAAGTCTGGACTTGAGTGGGATGGAAGTGGGTAACTGTCACTTCAGAGGCGGCTAAGGCCCAGAGGGAAACACTGTGAGTCATAGGACTGGGGGTGAACATTGGGTGGGTGGACAGCCTGGAAAAGGGCTAAAAGTGCAGGCAATTCAGAAGTTTGTGCAGAGGAGGACAGTGGGTGGAGGGTTCATGGGTCTTGGAGAGAGGGAGGCAGAGGCCAGAGAATGGGAGTCTGGGGTAAAGAAAGAGAGGAGAGGTTGGGTGTGCAAAAATGATCTGGTCTGGACTTCAAATCTAACAAAGTCCCTGGGCTGGAGCCTGAAGTAACACCAGAGGGTCCACTGGGCCTCACAAACATATCACCATAGCTGGAGGCTGCACAGGGGCTGCTGGTGGAAGCTATTACCACAGGGATCCTGGGTGACTTGGGCTCTGGGGGCAGCGTGGATGCATGTGTGATCACCGCATCAGGTGCCCAGCTGCTTCGGACACTGAGCTCGCCCACAGAGCCTATAAAGAGGTAGGAGCAGGGAAGGTGGGGCTACAGGGGAGGATTGGGCAGTAGCAGGGTATGGAAAAAGGGGGCTGCAAGAAGAGGACAAGCCACATGCTCAGAGGCTTTATCTCCTATCTCCCAGGCCTGATAGCTACTGCTTTGCACCTGGAACCACAGCCATTCTGACCCAGACAGTGAAGCCATTGAACTTGGAGCTCCTAGAAGAAACTGTGCAGGCCATGGAGGTGGAATGAAGTTGTCTGGGGTTTACAGCTAAGAACAAGGGGGAATAAACCCAGAAAATAAAAACATCTATACAGACTAAACAGATGGCTGTGTCTTCTTGGGTGGAGCAGGACAGGAAGCCAGCAGGGATCTGGCTAAGATATCCCTTTAGGAGCCACTACCTCCCACAGCTCTAGTGCCTGGCCTTATCACCCATCACCTCAGACATCTATTTCTCCAGAACCCCAGCCCTGGCCAACATTACAGCCTTGAGGAGAAAGCTTCCATCCTTTCTACCTTCTAATTTTCCTTCTTAGTCCCCACCACAGTCGCTCCCCCACCACTCCTGCCTTGATTTTGCCCCCTCTTCTACTGGGGATTGAACCTAGGAACACTGTACCACTGAGCTTCATCCCAAGCCCTTTCTTATTTTGAGACAGGGTCTCACTAAGTTGGCCTCAAACTTGTGATCTTCTTCCATTAGCCTCCTGAGTCACTGGGATTATAGATGTACACCACTGTGCCTGGTGCCCCCGGGGAACGTAAAACCCACAAGACTCATCACAACACTGCCCAGAGCCTTTCCCTGGCTCATCAGTGAAACAGGACAAAGCCCACATGTCTTAGTCAGATCCACCCTGGGTCCAATGAGGGCTATAAGTGCTGATATAGGATCAACTCCCTCCAGGGGCAAGCTCTTATCAAGTGTTCCTTAGCCTTGCACTTGAGACACCCCTTAAATGACCAGGCACACCTGAGCCACTAACACAAAGCTGGGCTTCATCTGCACATGCTGGGCTGTATATACGGAGATCAACTCCAAGTGTTCTAGGCTGACAGGGATCATAGGACTCATGTGGCAAGAGATGACACATTCATCCAGGAAACCTTTTGTTAAGTACCTATTGAATGTCAGGCCCACTTGCTGGGTGCTGGTAGGAACATCCTGCCCTCAAAGTAGCTGGGTTCCACTGGGGTTTCAGAACTGTTAAAGAGTCTGCTCACCTCTAGGGAGGTTCTACTCCATGCCAGACACCTATGGGCCTCTGATTATGCTCCCCTCCCCCAACTTTATTATGAAATGGGTCATGAAAATTGAAGAAGTTTCAATTTTCACTGAATACCCATATACCTACCACAAATTTAATAATTCATATTTTGTTGTATTTCTGTCTGTATCTTCTTATCCATCCATCCCTCTATCCACCCATTTCCTCATTTTGACCTCATTCTGAGGTCAAAATGAGTCAGTCAAAACCCTCACATCCCTAGAAGGAAACCAGCCAACTTAACCTGTTGCAACTCCACACAGGGGAGTCTTCTCTCCATGAGTTCACACTTAGCCTGGAACTCAGTAACAAATGGGATGTAGACACCAGGGTTTTCCCATGACAGCCCCAGTGCCTGGAAGTGTCATAGATTGTTTGCTATCACTCTTCTAGCTACAACCTCAGTCCAGGGTTTGCTAGTCACCAAGAATTCAGCTTATATTTAACAAGAATATGGATTTCAGAGTCATACACATGAGGGTTTGTGTCCCACTCCATCTCATGCTGGTGGGAGAGTCACCATCTGACTCCTGTTCCAAATGGATGAGGAATCCCTGAGAGGATGTCTTTTAGGACTAGCAACCCCCAGAACCTCCTTCCTTAGTCTTCCCCAGGAAAGCTGGCCACAGCTGACCATTCCCTCCTCCACTCAGAACACTCCTGGATTCTGAGCAGCCTTCTCTGAAAGCCTAGTGCTCCTGATAGCTATGGGAGGCTTTCCTGGTCCTGGCCACCAGGTTGACACTATAGATCTAGTGTTGTACCTGTGCCCAATGCTTGTGGTGCTTCAGGCAGCCAATCAGAGGCCAGGCTTTGGGAGGTGGCGGTGAGAACCTCACACCTGGGGGTCTCTCTGATAAGTCCAGGCCTGGGTCAGGGGACCTTGGCCTAAATAGAGCATGGGAGTGAGCTGAGCCTGCACAGCTGGCCCGGTCTCAGGCCTAGGACTTTGGCCCAAGGACAAAGATACCCATAAATAAAGTTGGGTCCAGTTCTCAACCTCACACCTACCATGATGCGACTGCTCAGGCTGACCCTCGGCTTGATCCTCTTTGGCTTCTCCTGGGGTAAGTGGGCCAGGAGCAGCCTTGACTGGTTGCCCAGTTTGGGGCAACCCAAATTCCCAGCACCAGTCCAGGAACCAGGCTGGATAGAAGGGAAGTAGATGAACAGGTATGCAAAGGACAAAGAATGGACCAGGGCAAAGGAGCAGGAAGGGGCCTGCAGGGTCAGAAGTGGGAAAGAATGGGATGGAGCTGGTCTCACAAATGGGACAGGAGCTTGAGTCGAGCCTGGGAGGGCTTAGGAAGCTGAGCTGTGAAAGTTGGGTGTGTAGTTTAGGAAGAGTCCACAGATTGCATGAGGGGTATGAACTGTTTAGGCCTGGATGGGTAGAGGGCCAGGAAGGAGACTACACCAGAGGTCAGGGAGAAAAAGAGCCTGGGCTGGAGGACAGGGGTGAGTTGGAGAACAGGAGGGACTAAGTTGAAGAGATGTGGGAGAATAGAGATTGATTGGATGGAGGGTAAACCACAATAGCTTTGGAGGCCCAGAAAGTGCTGATGGGGGAAGAAGGGCTAGTGACAATTCCTTTTGATTTGGATCTCTCTGGAGCACACAGCCTAGGGACATCCAGGGGAAGCAGGTGGGGAGAGGTGGGCTGGGGTGTTGATTCTCACCAACCGGATGGTCAGGCTGCGGAGTTCCTGCCATTAAACCATCACTGAGCTTCAGCCAGAGGATTGTCAACGGGGAGAATGCTGTGCCAGGCTCCTGGCCCTGGCAGGTTTCCCTGCAGGTATACACACCCTGAGGGTGGGGTAGGGTCCTGAGTGCTTCATGCCTACATATAATCTTGAGTTCACCTCCAACTCTGACCCCTGACTCCAGGACAGCAATGGCTTCCACTTCTGTGGTGGCTCTCTCATCAACCAGTACTGGGTGGTCACTGCTGCCCACTGCAGTGTCAGGTGAGTACTTGTACCCCACCTGCTCTGCCCACTTGGCTGCCCCTCTCTTGCTCTGCCCTCCCAGCGTATGCCCAACCAATCTCTTACTGCAGTCCTGGGCGCCACTTTGCTGTCCTGGGTGAGTACGACCGATCGTCTAGCACCGAGCCTGTGCAGGTACTATCCATCTCAAAGGTAAGTGCCTGGCTGCATGCATGGGAAGGAAGAATGGGTCACAGGTGGGTTCCTCTGGGCAAAGAATTCAGGCATGTCCTGGCCTATCCATCTTAGCACCATCGATGGGTACCTGTGCCCATCCCAGCCCTACATGGCCCCTTCCTGCCCCACAGGCTATTACACACCCAAGCTGGAACCCCACCACTCTGAACAATGACCTAACGCTCTTGAAGCTCGCCTCACCAGCACGATACACAACCTACATCTCACCAGTCTGCCTGGCTTCCTCAAATGAGGCACTGCCTCAAGGCCTCACATGTGTCACCACTGGCTGGGGACGCCTCAGTGGCGTGGGTAGGAACCTGGGCCCTGAACAGGAGGAGAGGGAGGTTATCTTGGACCAGCCTGACCATCCCTTTCTGGGCCACAGGCAATGTGACACCAGCACGTCTGCAGCAGGTGGTTCTACCTCTAGTCACCGTGAATCAATGCCGGCAGTACTGGGGCTCACGTATCACTGACTCCATGATCTGTGCAGGTGCCTCAGGTGCCTCTTCATGCCAGGTGAGCACAAGCACTCTGTCCTCTGCATTGTTCCACAGCATACCTCCCCAACCTGTCATACTGACTTCTCTTCCCTCTCAGGGTGACTCTGGAGGCCCTCTTGTGTGCCGGAAGGGGAACACATGGGTGCTTATTGGTGTTGTCTCCTGGGGCACCAATAATTGTGATGTGCAAGCACCTGCCATGTACACTCGAGTTAGCAAGTTCAACACTTGGATCAATCAGGTCATAGCCTACAACTGAGCCTACCACAGGCTCCCTCCCCATTTCAATCCAATAAAAGACTCTAGTCTCTGTCCTCTTGTCTGTCCTCCTGGCACAGGGAAAAGGAGAGGCTTTTTAGTTCTATCCCTATCTTTCTGACACAGAAAGGTCTGGAGTAAAGATCTTTCTACAGTATCCAGCCCAGGCTGGGGCCCTCATCCCTCCTCCTCTGGGGCAACCCCTTGGTTCCACAGTACACAGTCAGGGATTTTAGAATGAATGGGCAGCCTTCCTTGGGGAGGGCAGCCTGTTTATTGAATACAGAGGATACATTTACAAACTGAGTACACAAAATAAATAACTGCACATTCTCCATCCACGGTCCATGGCATAAAGGCCTATCAAAGGTTCAAAACTCCAAACTCCATCTATCCTACCCTCAGGCCTACCCTGGGCAAGAGGGGAAAAAAATCCTCAGGGCTTCAGGCTCCCAGAAACACTTATGGAACTGGGGGAATTTGTGAAGCCCTAGGGCTTGGGCTTTCCACTGCCTTCTGCCCAGAGGGCAGTCAGAACAGAAGACAGGGGTATGTAAGGCACAGTTGACTTGGCACAGAGTGGTCTCTTTGGTTTTCCTCTGGAAATAGCACGTGCAGAGAGAGGAGGGCCTGGCCCAAGGCTACCCAAAGGGAGGAGCTGAGTAGGGGTCAAATGTTCCCTGCTGGCAGGGGCTCTAGCTAAGGCCAAAGCTGGCCCCTGGCCCTTTCTGCCCACTGAAAGCAGCTGTGGAGGAAGAAGGTTTGGGTTCCAGCCTGGTTTGTGTTGGTGTAGACATCATGACAGCCATGGGGACAGTTCTGGCTCAGGCCTCTAAAAAAGAAGCCCCGCCAACCCCACCCACTTCCCACAAGGGTTCCCTCCAGCCTGAGACTCAGCAGGCCCCAGACTGGAAGGTTAATGCTGTAAAAGGAAGCTGACACAGGGTGGGTGGGGCAAGGCCAGCTCTCACAGCAAGATCAGTCATTACCCTAGGCACCCAGGGTTCAGAAGCAGGTCACACAGTATGGCTAAGTTCCAGGGAGAAGCTGAGCAGAAGGGGAGTTGAGCAGCCCACGACCCTCTCTCAATGTAGCAGTTCCTTCCTTTCCACTTCCTTTTAGAGGACTTTGGTTATCTATATTAGATGGGTGTGCATTCATCACCCAGAGGCTGCCCATACCCAGACTAGACACCAGATTGGCGCCTTCATGAAGCTGCAGAGGAGGGTACAGTGACACCTGAAGGGAAGAGGCAATGGATAATACCAAAGGATGAAATTAGAGATGGCCATGGGAACCTAAGGGAAAACCATCTGCCTTGGCCCAGGTGCCCCCATCCCCTGGGTAGCAGCAGTGGGGCTCCCTTTAACCCCCAACAGTTGGGAAGGAGGCACCTGGGGAATGAAATAGACATCTAAGGGGGAGAGGGAGGCAATAGTGAGTGCTGCAAAAAAGGCACTGAGTATATTGGGGAGGACCCCACTCAAGCTGGCCATCAGCAATGGCTAAGGTCCATTCCATGGCCCTACCACAAGAGGTCCTGGAAGACTTGGGTTAGAAGGGGTCCCTGGTGGCACCATGAAGGAAGATCTTGGCTGGGAGGTAGAGGCTGCTTGGGTCCAATCAAGGAGATTTACAGTCTAGCTAAGGCCAAAGCCAGGCCTCCCACTGCAGCATAATCTTTTTATCTTTTTTTTTTTTTTTTGGTACTGGGGATTGAACCCAGGGCACTCAACCACTGAGCCACATCCCCAACTTTTTTTTTATATTTTGAGACAGGTTCTCACTGAGTCGCTTAGGGCCTTGTTAAGTTGCTAAGGCTGGCTCTGAACTCATGATCCTTCTGCTTCAACCTCCCGAGCCATTGGAGCATAATCTGAAAGATCAGAATGGCATGGAATGTGGGGAGCTAGAAAGGAAGGTTCTGTGGCAAAACAGCGGGTGCCCAAAGTAACTACTCCAAAGGGTCCTGGACCATAGGACACCCTTCACTCCCAGGACTGCAGGACCCTTCAGTCTGGGATAGATCCAAAGGATGAAGAAGACAGTGAAGGCCAGGTCCTGTCCCTTTCCCCAACTCACAGAGCAGCTACCCACCAAAACGGGTATCAGTGCCAGGCCAGGCTCCCATTTCAGGGGAGTCATGACCCTCCTGGGCTACCTCAACTCCATCACACCAGGCCCAGGCCCATGATAAGGTCAGGGGCTGCTAAAGGCACAGAGAAAGGGCCAGGGCCAGACATTCTCTATATACCACTAACCATGAGGCCTATCTTCACAGAGGATGTCAGGCCCAGAGGGCACAGCTGAGCCCAGCCAGTCTGGGACCATGTTGTATCTGTGCCACAGCTGGTGGCTCAGCCATTGTATTGTTGCTGATAGCGGAGGTTGAGCTCTCGCAGCTCCCGCTCCCGCACACGGCGTGACTTGTTGGAACGTGTGGAGCGGCTGGAACGTGTGGACTGGGCCGACTTGGTGCTCTGGCAGCGTGAGGAGGCACGCTTGAGGAGGTTCTGGGAGATGGAGCGGTGCAGATTCTTCATGGATGAAGAGGCTGCCATGCTCACCACCCATGGGTGCCTCAGGGCCTGTAGTGCAGTCATACGGGCTCCAGGGTCCACTGTCAGCAGGCGGTCAATGAAGTCCTTGGCCAGATTGGATACACTGGGCCAGGGCTAGAAGCCAAGGATAAGCATTAGAATTAGAGTACCCAACACTGCCCTCCCATCTGGATGATGCTGCCACCACAACACTGGGACCTGCCCAGAGGCCTTGCACTTCCTAGGGAGAGGCAATGCTTCATCCTCCCAAGTAGTATTCTGGGCCTCTCCTACCCACCCAACACTGACCTAGCTTCTGAGTGGAGCTGACCTCTGGATCATGAGGAGTCTTGATAGAGGAAAAGGACCCATTCTTTTTCCCAGAGAACATTTCTAAGTGCTATGAACCCAAAGCCTGGCTCAGGGAGGTGACTCCTGACAAGACCCTCAACCTACCCCAGGACCACCATAATCAGGGAAAACTTCAGACAGAATAACCCAAATATTTCTACCACATCTTTAGACAAGACTTAAGCTCCAACCTGGATGGTCAAAACAGATCATTTAAAGGGGAGCTTCCTGGTACCTTTAAGTACCTGGGTCCCACCTCCTTTCAACTGCCAAAGTATTCCTTTAGCCTTGGGGTAAAAAAGGAAACAATCAAAGCATCTAGATTTCTCAGTCAGCTGAAAGGAGCTCTTAGAGCCAGGCACCCAGGGGTACTCTCTAGTTTGCGTGACTTCTCTGAGGCATGAAGGGCTCCTATGCACCAGCCTCCTAATGTTATGTTCTGTCCAAAGGGAGGAACTCCACAAAGACTGCTTTGCTACACACACCACACACTGAGCACCTGTTCATCTCAGGGCTACACACCAAACACCTGTCCACCTCAGGGCCACCTGCCTGGCTTGTCTTCATTTGGCTGAGTCTTAGATTCTCAGTATGATATCCTTAGGTTCTCAGATACTCTGTGAGCCCTCCGTGCTTATGGCTGTTATTCTAGCTATAACTTGAAGGCTGTGAATTAAAGTTTATTATTCCCATTAGATGGTGCTGAGCCCTAGTGCTTGGCACAGTGCATACAGGAGGCGCACAGTAGGTACAGTGCGTTAACCACCCTTACATACTGACTGATGTATGCCCTCAGCTGAAGCTGCTTCCAAGCCATGGGGTTCAGTCGGCAGAACCCATATGTCCTGGGCCCCTTCTGGAGGGTAGGCTGAGTCCTTGCTCTCCTAGGAGCACATCTGGCATGGGCTCTGATGCTCCTCAAGGGATGGGTGGCTAAGCCCTTAGGACCTTTCCTGATCCTACTGCAGAGTCTCTGCTGGGATGCCAGAGGCACCATAACTTTCCTTCCTGTCAGTGAAGTCTGCCTGTTCTACCCCATGGCATCCTTCATCTTGGAGAAGCCCTGAACATGCTCTCCAGGGAACTCAGGGAAATCTGTGGAAGCCCACTTTTGGGGTGACAACATGACCATTTAGCAGACAGTCATACCCATTGACTACTGCCACCCCTGGCCCCCTGGACCTCTTGCACTATTATTATCCCTTTCCCACTGCTGGACAGGGACAAGGAAAAGACACCATTCATCTGGAATTCTGTGGAAGGGCTGAGCTGCTTGCAGCTGCTGTCCTCACCTGCCTTTTAGAAGGCAAATATCAAATTTTCTTGAGCTGAACTGGAAGTGACAGGGAAATCACAATGCAAAGAGTCACCTAACAGGGCTGTCCTCACCATCAGGACAGTTTTCCAGTGATTCTGGTAGAAAAGTCATGGCCTCAAGGACATATAGCCATAGAAGGACCAGAGAGATACCTTGCTGTCTGACTGGACCAGATGGTTGCCACAAAAGCTTTTGGCTTACAGCTCAAGAAAGTCCCACTGATTGTTACTACTACCTGAACACAAGGAGCCACTGCTATGGGCCAACTAATCCAGACCACAGACACTCACTGCAGCCCCTGTCACTCACTTAAGAGATGGAAAGCAGTGAGCTTAATGCCCCATATTGCCCTACCAGCCTTTTATGGTGTCCAAGAAAATAACTTGCTGGGAAACACATGGCAGCCTAGCCTGGCCTGTTAAGGGAACAGCCACAGGATAGGGCTGGCAGCTTAGACTAGTCCAAACAGGGCTAAGACACAGCCTCTGCCCCTGTCCTGTGATCCAACCTGGATGGAAAGGCAACTCCTCTACAGAACAGTGGTAAAGCTGGACTCACAAGCCAAGAACCTGAACATGGATGGACCAGAGGCTTCCCTATTTCCCATCTGCAGACCACCAAACCATGGAACCCTGTGGCTTTGAACCAGTCCAATGAAGTCTTAGAAGGGCCTCTCACTAAACCTGTCCCATGGGCTTAAGCATCTCCATCTCCAGAGTGGCACAGGCTCACCCCAGGCATCTACCCCTGCTGCTAGTCGGGCAGCCAGCCCGTTAGTGCCAAAGCGAGCCAAATTGATCCACCTATCCTGTTCCCCCAGACTCTCGCCTCATCAATTACTGTGTACG